GGTTAATTAGCACTTTTGTGTTGGATGCACAAAGAACTGGAGCATTTTCTTTGAGTATCCTTACAAAGAGTGGGAAAATTTGTACGGAACACCTGTGGAGTTAAAATGTGGGGTGATGTGACTATATTGAATAAAGAGGAAACTTGAGTTTCAGCTGCTGTTCTGGTAAACATTAACACCTGTTTGTATAAAATATATCTACAAGAGAGAAAACTGAGACCTTGTTAGAATATAGATTTGTCTGGCATTTGTGGTATTCACCTGAAACTTGGGAAATGGCTTCGAAATACCCACATTAGTTGTGTCAGTGAAGATTCAAAGTTGCTCAAAGCCTGTAGAAACCTAATTAACTAGTTAGCAGAGGAGATAGCATAGCTGGGTGTCACAGCCCAGACTGGACAGACCAGGGAGTTGTCTTTAATTCGAAATTCCCTCGGGCTAAATTAAGGTGAAAGGACACCAAACGATCAGTTAAAGATTTTATTCATGACAAAAGCAAACTGAACTGGGGAGGCATGTTAGTAGGTGGCAGGGTTTCTCACAACAGGAATTGGCATAAGACTACTTCTGTAAACCGTGTAACCATATACATCAATTCAGGGAATAAGGAGATCCCTCCCATTGAGTCACGAGGTTCAGAGCAGACCCCCTTGCTTTCCAGAGTCCTCCTCAGAGAAGGGCCCAGGGGCAGCTGGATCCACTCTTAGTCTCAGACTTGGTCAACGGTTCATATCTTGAAACGGATGAGGTGTAGGGATTGTGAAAAAGGAAAAGGGAAGAGAGAAGAAGACAGAGAGAGAAAGGAAGAGAGAAAGATTTCACCAGTCCTGGGTCTAGCGTTGGCCCAGTCAGCCAATGGGTCCAGTTCCGGTGGGCTTGCGCACCCGGGGCTTCAGTTTGTGTCCTTTTATCATCCTTGCCCCTCCTTCGGGCGGGCACCCAAATTCCTCAGGTTAATGAACAGTTTGTGAGCCTTTGGGCTTGGGGGTCCTTTGGGGAGTAACTTCTCCTTCCCTGCAGACACGGCCATTGTTTGATCTTTGTATCAGAACAGGGAGCTGTACCCTCCAGCACGCCCTCCCCCTCCTGTTGCTGATGTCTGAGCTGATGGGCTTTTCACCTTGGTTCCTTGCTGTGCAGGGTTTGTCTTTAAGCAGAACTTGCCCCACCACAATGTTTGAGACATTAACTCTTTCAGTCTCTCACACTGGGGCAACACAGTCTATTCATATCCAAGGTAGCAAGCTTAAAGATAGTTCAGATATGTCTGCGCAAACTGTAGCTACACCTTTAAACTGTCTAGATGATCACATTTGAAGTGCAATTTATTATTCTTATCTTACAATAAAACAATAATGTTTCTTTTAGAAGGAGTGTCCAAAATGCTAATTACATGAGAATACAATGTGTTTTCATGTACATGTGGATGAAGCCAATCCTGGCGATATTCTGAAAGTGTGGAAAGACTTAGCACCATATTTTGAGAGTTCTAGGTAGAGCAGATAACTACATTACTGTGTCAAATTGTATTGGGTTTATGTTTACATAAATATCCTTAAAGATCTTGTGTAATCGGCTTTTCTTAGTGATTTCAACATGAGGTGCTTAGTGTACATTGAAGGATAATCAGGCAGCTCACTCTAAAGGAGGAGTGAGTAGGCATTTTCTGTAGGAAGATGCCTAGGAAGTAACTGTTGTGCCTCTTTTGCCTGTGCATTCTTTGCATATTGTTACAATATTCTTTACTGAATGCTTTACGTTTTGGGTCTTGACTCCCTGGCACTAGTCTGTAGCATACCTGAGTTGTAAGGTCAAAGTCCAAGACGCACATCTTTCTCTTTGGAAGAATGTTAGTTAATGCATGTTCTCCATGTCTGTAATCTGGGTAAGCAAGTGGCCAGTTACTCTGAATTGTTCAATCTATTCATAATTTTGCATGGAATTTACATACTAGAGTGAATCTTATTGACAGAATTTGGATTGCTCACTGTTAGAATTTAGCCAGAGTTCTTAAACTCTAACTTGATATTTACTAATGTAAAAAAGAAAAAAAGTTACTATTACACCATAAATTATAAGACTTTGGGTTCCTTTTTCTTCTTCTTTATTATTATTTTTTGAAGACACATTCTTGGCTGAAAGGCTTCATAGAGTAAACTATGACAGTAGTGAGATGGCACTTTATTCATATATGTTATATTATACATGCGTTTGGTATGGTATTTGTATTTATCAGTATGAAGTTTAAGCATTTTTATAGATTTTAGATGGTAATTTGGTAATGAAGAAAACTTGATAGTGGCTAGGAAAGGAATGAGTGTAACAGGAAAAAAATGGGATGAGAAATGATAGAATGGAAAAAAGTTTGTGGGTGATAAGGAAAATGGTTAAAACCAGGCAGAAGATAAAAGCAATTCTATCTTATGTTTCACAGAGTGGGTGCTGTCAGTATGTGTAAAGCACGTGTGGTGCAAGTGCTAATAATAAGCTCTGATGTGCATGCTAGGCTACTGAATTCAGGTAATGCAGGTTGCTGGTGACCTCTTATTAGGTGGAAGTTGAAAGAGAAGGTCTGACATAGCTTGTTCCCTTTGTTTTTTTGCTGGAAGCTTGTTTAGTATATAGAAATCTACTCAGGTAGGAGTAATTTCAGATACTGTAGTCCATAAAAAAATAAAAAAGGAAAATTAATTTTTTTGAGGCCTTTTGTGTAAGGAGTGAAGTAACCATTGTTACTTGAGATTTCATTCAGAGCTTCTAGTTATTTTGCTTCTGTGACCCACCTGTCTATCTCTGTAATGGTGTAGAGCTGGCGGCCAGTATCGCTTCAGAGGGGAGGGCGATGTGAGAAAACACTGTAGGGTAAAAGAATACAATAATCATTGAAGAAGCTTGCTTCTAGAGACTTAATTCCCTTAAATGGGAGGAATTCTAGTTTTCTAAGCCCATATGTTTCTTAATTCAGTTCCAGTTCAACTGATGACCAAAGGCTGTGTTTTTTTCTTTAAAACAGCATTTCTTTTTATCAATTTTAGGTCTTCCTTTCCAACTTCACTGGTTTCTGTTTCTGTATTAAATAATACTTTTCAGCTTATAATTCATACGGTTGTCAGCTAATTTAATTTCTTTGGGTTGTATCTGTAAATTGTTCATTCTTGAAGTGTTTTGGTAATGTAAATATATTTAAATGTGAAACATGAAAAATATACCATTTTATGCACCTCATCTATCTACTGTTTTTGGTGCATAGTCTTGCTTCTGTGAGACCATGAGTTTAGGTCAGAAGAAATTGTGATTAGACTTCACCAAGCACTGTCTGCTCTGAGTTTAGGTTAACTGACAGCACATTTTAATATATCAGCATTTTTTTGAACAGTTAATTTTATATAAAATATAACACCCCTTCAGTTCTTCTAACATGACAGTGTGTCTAAGTGTGTAAAGCATTTAGCTTGTAATTATAGGAAGATGTTTATGTTTTTTGTAGTTCAGGCTGTGGTCTTTCTACATTCTACCAACCCTGGTTAGATGAGCACAGTTATTCAGAAACTAAATCCATGTACCTGAAAATAAATCCACCATCTTTCTTCCAATGAAACATTTTAGGAACTTCAGATACTGTTAAGTAGAGAGAGTTTTCAGGTATCACAGTTCAGTAATCAAACCTTTACATATCAGCAGTAATGTCCAAATGCAAAGGATTGGGTCAGTAGAATTTTTTTCAGGTGATACAACATGTATGACTGTCACATGTAATTTTGGGAGAGAATGACTCAAATTTAGCTAGGATTGTTGGTAGCGATGCTTTGTTAGTATCTCCTGTAAACTACTAGAATATTAAAGATAAGAAAAAACGAAAAAAGTATTTGGGGTGCTGCCACATCTCTCCAGTATATGTCTGTAGGATATCTATTGCACCAAAACTTTAGGTAGTAAAGGATTAATACTGTTGGTGATCCACTTGATAGTAGAAAGGAGCGGTGGATCTATTAGACGTGTCTTATCAATCTTCCTCGGACCTCTGGCCAGCGCAAAGTATGTCAGTACTGCGTTGATCACAGGTGTTCACACATAGACTCTAAGTCATGTAGGAAAGACCAATCTTGCTCCTTCTTCTCTTTGTCAAGAATATCAGCTGTGCAGGTGAATTTCTTGAACAGTGTTTTGCATTCCACAAAATGCTGTGCTGTGTTCTGTAAACTGAGCATCAGTTAGTTTGATCTATCCCTTCTTTGTTGGCGTGAGGTAGGTAGGAACTGCATCTTCAGTGTACTTTTTTTTTTTTTTTAGAAGATGCACATACAACCCTGGCTTGGTACACAGCTGTTCTCTGAGCTAAGACAAAACCAAAAGTTTTAGAACAAAGTGTTGAGGTTAAAGAGAAGGTAGGTTTGTTTGCCTTTAATTTAACAAAAGAAACCACACCCCCACACCCCCCCCAACAGAAAAACCCAACAACAACCAAACAAAAAAAGCAAGCTGGTATTTGAACCTCACTGAAATGTAGCCTTTGTTCTGATTCTTCAGGTTTCCAAACAAAATGATAGTTTTGTGGGTTTAAGTGTTATTTTTAACCTTAATTTTCGGTGTTCTCACTTACTGCTTAGATCTTTCATGCTAGCAATGTTGATAAGCTTTTGATAAAGGGTTGGGGGAAATTGGTCAGGTAAGAGAAGTTGTGCAGTACATGATTGAGTTGAGTGACCAGTCTGATATAATTACAACTACATTGTTGAATTCCTTTTAATGTCTTCAGTAAATTTGGCTTCAAGGGATGTGGCTATGTCTGAATACCTGCTTGCTATTCAGATGTCAAGCTGAATATTAGCCTGCAATTCCTGATCGGATGTTTAAATCTTTGTGGGGTTTTTTTTGGCCTTTCTGTTTGTTTATTTGTTTGGGATTTTTTTGTGGTGTTTTGGGATTTTTGTTTTGGTTTGGGTTTTTTTGTGGTGTTTTTGGGGTTTTTTTTGTTTTTGTTTGTTTGTTTTCTAATCTAGGATGAAACAGGTGCCTATTTAATAGACAGAGACCCGACCTACTTTGGGCCAGTGCTGAACTATCTCAGACATGGGAAACTGGTTATTAACAAGGACCTAGCTGAGGAAGGTAAGATGTTACTAAATCTCTTGCTTTCTTGTCACTTGCTTATTATTTTCACTGATTTTGAGTCACCAAAAGTAACTTACAATTAGATGGTAAATCTTAATCAGTGTTAGCATTTCAATCTGGTTCAAGTGAGGGTGATAGTTATTGTGCTGTTATAGTATATGCTGTTATTTGAGTGTTTTGAGTGTGATTCCTGATTTCACAACCCCCATCCCCAGCTGGAAATAGAACATAAATATTCAAACATGAGGGGAGATGCCTTTTATCATATAATTTTGTATCTTTCCTGTATGACTGTGTGAAATACTTGGGTTTAGTCCTCTTCAAGCAAAATAATACTGACTGTGAAACAAACTTTAGAAGATGTAAAGCAAAATAAGAGTGAAGTTCTGGGATGTTCAGTTGTGTGGAACATGCTCTTGAAGAGTAAATTCTGCCCCCAGCTTCTCCCTCCCTGTCCCCAATTCATATCAGTTTTACCCTAATAGAGGATGACTCTTTTAAACCATACAGTACTAAAACTGTATTGATAAGGTATTGAAGAAATTGATCAAAGAGAAATACAGTCTAACAATATTAGCAGGAAATAATGTGAAATATAATTTCCATGTGCATTGTTAAACACAGAGTATGTGTGGAGAACAGGTAAGACTTGAACATGTGAGTGGGAGCAGTTTGTAGTATGTATGTTTAAGCTTTTGTTTCAGGGTCTAAGATCTCAACTGGCAAGAAGAAAAATTTTCTGCACACTAGCAGCTGCAGAGCTTTTCAGTAGGACTATTTGAATTTCTCTTTCGTATTCCAGCCTGAGGCAGGGCCTGAGCTATGGTGGTCCATCAGTCTGCTATAGAATGGCATTTGAGCCCCTTTTTTTTGTTTCCTGCCTCTCATTCTGTATGTGAAATGTCATCAGTTTTCTTCAGGGGTTTTTTTTTTGGACAGTTTTTCAGAATGAGCTAAACTTTGAACTACACGTGCCTGAAGGAAGCCAGAATCGTTAGGTTGGTAAATGAACTTTTCCTAGGGCAAAATAAATCATTTTCTATAGCTGTAGAGAAGATAATCTTAGGAACTGGTTGGTGGTTTTGGCCTGGAATCTTTGGTTACGTTCTCTTTCCGAAAAATGTTCTCATACTAGGTGTACTGGAAGAGGCTGAATTCTACAATATCACATCACTAATAAAACTGGTAAAGGACAAAATAAGAGAAAGAGACAGCAAAATCTCACAGGTGAGGCTGTTTTCTAGTGTGGTTTTGATTATTTGTTCTAGGGCAAGCAGTGGGTGGGTTTGATTTTTTTTTTTTTTTTTTCCCCCCTTAATTGCTCACTTCCCCAGCAAGATACTGAATGGCTGCCTCCATCACTGGTTGAGCTGGAACCATTAGTACGCAAAGATTAATATTCTTAATTGCCAGTACCTGCCAGTCTGCTTACAAAGGGCACAGACATATGGTTCCAGTTCTTGTTCAGAAGCTGAAAACATTCTAAAGAATTGTTCAGAAATGTCTGGTAATGGTAGAATTTGTTATAATATCATTTCTGGAAATAGTTATTTTAGAAAACAGCTTTTGTAGTATAGATTTTTCTCATACGCATTTAAATACTCTGAATATGATGAGTTCGCCTAACTACGGTATAACTGCTGTTTATACAGTATGTTTATACAGCGTACATACAGATGCTGTTTAACTCCTGTCATATGCTTTTGTAGCAAAGTAGTTTATTTGTAGTGCTTGGTAGTTGAGAAGACTCTGCCTCTTCTCATAGCAGCTCATGAATATTTCTTTATGGAAGTGAATATGATAGAGCAACTGTTAATTGAAGAAAGTATTCAAGTTTGTTCTTTAACTCTGCTACTCTGGTCTTCCCTGATAACTGAGTCTTCATGGAGATATTACAAACTCATATTGCCAAATTTCTTTTGAAGCCGGGTTGTGGGATAACAGAGTTTTGCTCTGATAGCATTTTCTAAAGGGTTTCAGCTGAAATGGTCCTAGTTATTCATTGCTTTGGATGGGAAACTTTGACAGGGAAATATATGGTCAGACCTTAAAGTTAGGTAGGCCTCTGCAGAACCTCAACCTTGATTTTGAATAATGTGGTTTGCCACCACATGGACCGATAGGTAAGTCTTAAGATTATTTTGTTATAAATGTTAAGTAGCACTTTCAGTCCCTGAAACATTCATGAAGCATTGAGTCTTCTGCAAGGTGATTCTGAACAGGTGAGATTTCTTTTAAAAAAAAAAAGGCTGTTCAAGGTGGTGTTGCTTACCGTTTCTAAAGAATAAGGGCAACTTTAGACAAGTCACAAGCATAGTGAATTCCATGCTGTATTGAGCAACTTATATTTCTTCTTGAAGGTGCCAGTCAAACATGTGTACAGGGTGCTGCAGTGCCAGGAAGAGGAACTCACTCAAATGGTTTCCACAATGTCTGATGGCTGGAAATTTGAACAGGTAAAAAAAACCATATGGGATATAATTACAAAGTCTTCTAAAATTTCAGTTATGTCAACGAGGAGTATAAAGTCAATTCTGTGCATCTTTTTAAGTTCACTAATTTTCAGAAATTGGATAGATAAAGATACACGGTTAAATTAAAATTTGGTATTTGTATTCTTATTTGTCAGAGGACAAAAAACTGTAGCTTTCCAGGAGATAAATGTAGCTTTCTATAAAAACATCTACATCATGCTTGAAATGTAATTCTTCAGTGCCTATACACTAGCATTTGAAGGGTGAATAAACCAAAATTAACTAATACAAGTTTATACGAATGGTAGGTCAGATATAAAGAGCTCCGGGTAAAAGAGATGAGCTTGGGAGATAAATGTTTGTCAGGCCCAAACAATGCTTCTTCAGATAAAGGACTGATACGCATAAGAGAGTGAACTTAACCAGTGCGGATGTGAAGCTGGATAGGTGTGAGCTATGTGAACGTTTTCATTCTTTGCACTGCGTAAAAATAGCTTTGTGTGTACATTCAAGAATACATTGTAAAATTGCAAGATGATCTTTCTGTTATCTTTGCTAATCTCTGTAAGTAAGAAACTAACTACGTGGCCTCTTCATCCTTCGTGTTCCTAACCTACCAGAATATTTAAACTGCATTGGAGCAATGAATCTGTTAACTCAGGAGTGAGACAAAGTGCTTAGCCACCAGCATCTTTTTCAGTGTCTGGTGCCAACTGTAGGAGAGATTGGAATAAGCACAAGCCTCTTAACCTGTGCAGTCTCACTCTAATAACACAGCAAAGCAACATTTTAAAAAAGTACAGCACACAAAGGTAAAAGAGAAAGTTTTGCTTATATTTGATGAAATGTGTAAGGTGCTGGTGTCATGGAGACGGCTGTGATCGAATAAACTAAACCAGCACAGAGAAAGCTTCTTGTGCTTCAGTTCTCTGGCTCAAGTATTACCAGAGCTGTTTGGCATGCCAGAAGCTGAGTGTTTAAGTCCCTGAAAAAAGCTCTCACTTAATGCACGTGACTGGTTTTTGACCAGTGCATGGGCAAAATTTCTTTGATATTCTTCTTTGTCATGAGAAACTAGCTTTCATTACAAACAGAGATTCTTTACTTTTTGACAGCTTAAATGATACTATGGCTTTTATCTGTCCTAAAGCCTTGTATTCTTCGGGGTATTGTATTTGGGAGTAATACTGCTTTGACAGTGCAACTGCTGAAAGAACTATTAGAAACTCTTTTAGAACCGGAAAATTCCAGTGGTTTTCTTGAATGTTACGTCCTTGTTTCATCCAGATTTCTCCCTATTTACTGCCTCCACCATGTGTCTCTTGGACACATGGTTTGAAGTAGATAAACACAACAGCTGTATGGTCTCATAATACTCAGCTTCTCATTACCTCAGACTAGGCCATTCTCTCCTTTGGTTGTATTGTAGACCTGCTTTTAGCAGACATCGTTCACTTGAAACATGATTAGAATATTCTGTATAATCTAAACAGTTTTATTGTTAAGATTTGAGAACACTGTAGCATTTCTGTAATTTTTTATCTTTTCTAAACCTGTGTTGCTCAGCAGCATGCTTCCTTCAGAAGCAGTCTTTGCGGTGGCACCTACCATGCTTTGTACGTATTATCATTGGTGGGATAAGAATCATCAGCTTTTTCAGAGGAGTACTATTCCTATGGGTTGAGAGTCCTTGTGCTCTGTGCCCCATATAACATGTTTAAGTGGTTGTTTTTGATAAAAAAATATTACTTTCCCCTTAACATTTCGAAATTTTCTTGTAAAATACAATTGAATGTGGTGATTAAATAGGAGTGGAAGGTGTTAAACTTCTGGTGCACTTAGGCAGATGTGTTGATGCACTTTTCCAAAGAATACCAGTGGAACTGCTGGTAGAATACTACAATCAGTTCCAGTCCAAAAACTACTGCCAGTAGTTGTGCTACCCCACTTTTGTGATTTCAGTGGGTTATTTTGGAGATGATTTTTAGCTTCAATTGTTACCTCTTCAGGCAATCAGAAAAAACAATATTTTGGCAATACTCCATAATGGGAAACTTTGGGCTATACAAAATTGCTACATACAAAGGCTTTAGACAGCAGTGGTGTGTCAGTTATGTAAATTTTAATGATTAATGTAACCTGAGTCTGTCACCATAATGCTGTCTTAAATATATTCACTGTATGAGGAGGAAGGTATTTAGCTGCTGCCTTCAAAATTATTCACATAACAATAGCAAGATAAAAATAAATTTACTGTTCATGAGCCTTCTCATCACTAGTAATCTCCAGTTTACTCAGAATAGGCAGTTATTGTCTAGTTCTTCACACTTAATTTAAAGCTCTAATCTTTCTCAAGTGCACTGACAGGCTATGCTTTAATTTAAATGGGCTAGGAATTGCCATGCATTATTAAGTTAAAACATTTTCTGTAATGACAAGTTGAGAAATTTAGCTGAGGTTTTTCTGAACTTCTGAATTATTAGATGTTACGCAAGTGTGAACAGAGTTCTTGGTACTGATTTTTATGGGAACAAGACAGACAATTTTTTCCATGCCAGTTATTTTCTTGGATCTTCTGTAAATTACCCCTTCTAAAACCAATTTAGAGCACTCAACTTTTTTTCCTCTAGTTGACTTCATATGTTTTCTTAGCTATATTTTGTTTATCAACATCTGGAACAAGATGAAGCTCTTTCATGCCCAGGCTTGATATATTGCTTTACATAACACCTTCCAGTCTTATATCGACGTTACCTTCTGCACTTGGCAAGTGTGACAGGAAAATAATGTTCACTTTCATAATGCACCAAACTTTGTTTATATTTTTCAGAGTAGTTGACTACACCACAGTGATATGGGAAGTTTTCTGACGTACTATCAGTAACTCTTAACTTCCCTTGAAATTACAAAGGGCTTTGCAACTGCCTCCATAAATTTTAAGTATGTTGAAATGAAAGTTGTAGCTTGATAGCAACCTGTTCTAGTGGCAAGTAAATGTTACCTGAACGTTTGAGCTCATCTGTTATTTGTACGATTTGGATAATGGTATGTGCTTCAGCTTTACAAAGGTTTCTTTTTGTGTTTTGCTTTGATTGGTTATTTCAGCTTGTCAGTATAGGTTCCCAGTACAGCTGTGGCCGGGCCCAGCAGTCAGAGTATCTGCTGATAGTGTCACGGGAAGTGAAAGGGGAAGAGAGATGCTTCCAGAAATGCTGCAGTGAGGTGTGTCACACCATTCTTTTTGCCCTCACACTGATATGCTTGGCCTCCTTGCGTTTCTGCTGCTTTCAAATCATTCCACTTTATTCCTGGATGTACAGCACATAGTAATTTGTGTGTATTTGTGACTGGCTTTTATTTATATTCACGGTATTTCATTATACATTATGATTGTTCATATTGTAAAAATAATAAACAAACAGACAAACAAAACCCCCCTAGTTATTTAGTTAAAGGTTTTTCCCAAGAAGAGTTCTTATGTTCTCAATAGGTAACTTCTTTTCCTTAAATCTTCCTCCAAAGTTAACAGCCTTTGATCTATACTTGTTTAAATTGTACCACTTTTACTTAACATTAGGAGCCCTCTAAATAAAGCTTTGAGTTCACTGGGTTTAGAAAGGGACATTTTTGTGTTAATCGTTGTTCCAGTTGAGCGTATTTCATCCACCTAATAGCCAGTTAAGTTCTGAGTTCGAACCCTTTATTTCTGGTAACTCGGAACTTAACCTTTTTTTTAGGTGGATGAAATGTATTCAAGCTGGAACAATGAATAACAGAATTTTTCAGAAATAAAATACGGAGTGAGGGGAGAACAAAACCAGGAGTTTTAAATCTTGTCTCAAGTGGAAAGAACATCCTGGGGTTTTCTGGCTTTATTTTTTTTGTTGTTTTGGGTTTTTTTTCCCCCTTGGAAAATTTTCTTGAAACCCAAATGAAGAATCGTAGCTTCACTCATTGGCTTTTTAGGCTGTCTCATCCTTCCTGCTCCTCTTGCCGTCAAGTCGCTGCTTTTTTAATTGCTGTGTTACTTGCCAGTGTTCAAGAGTTTGGGAAGGGATTTTTTGGCTAACCAGTAACATTGGAAGCAGTTTCCAGTTCTTTACATAGCTGTGCTTCATTTTGAAGTGTCTTATGTGAATTGATTTGGGAACCTGGTGTTCTGTAGTATTTTTCAACAATAAAATACTCAGAGTACTTGTTCTTTTCCTTGCTTTATATGTGGTTATTCAGTCTGAAAGATCAGTATAACATCATGAAGATAACATGACAGTAAAGTGACTTGATATGAGCAGAACCTTGCATATGAATTTACGTGGACACTTAGCCATGCAGTTCTAGATTTTAAACCTGGACTGTTGCCTAGCTATGTTCCAGAATCTGCTTTCAATGTACCAAGCACTATCTGTTTCTTGCAGTTGTATAGGTAACATTTGGAATGTGGAATTAATGCATTGGGTTGCACACTTTCTGGAACTGAATAGGAAATGTGGCTTGTTGTTAAGGATGCGTAGAGTACAGGCAGCATGATGTTATTCATGTGTTCATGTCCTAGATAGCTTAAAGTAAAATTCAACATAATAAAATGGGAGATGGGGGAAGGCAATGAAGAAATGAAGGCAGGTATAAAACTTAAAAGAAAAAAAAATAAATCTGGAAGGGAATGAATTTTCCTTCCTCCTAGATTAGAAGTCTGACAATTGCATTAAGAGACCTGAAATAAATATGCTTGTGGTCCTCTTGTCAGTTATCAGTGCTGAGTTTAATGGCTGATAGCCTTAAAGGCTTTATATGGCCTTTGGCAAATCCTTTGAGAAGGCAGTAGAATAAATGCATTATAACTCTAAAAGGCAAGAGGCCATTCTTACATTGATACAGCTTGATTCTGTAAAAAAAAATTGAGTGGAGGACTTTGTTTTATTCTATCAACTGTTAGTATAATTAAAAAAAAAAAAAAATAAGCTTTCCAAGACAAGCTTTCTAGTGTACACGTTCATGACCTCTGAAATAGAAGCAGTAATATTCAAAGTATAAGAATATTTAAAATAGAATTTGAGAGTACTTGTTAGAAAATTTACTCAGTTTTGAGAATCAGACCATCACAGAAAGAGAAGGAAATTGGTAGTCATGAAGTAGAAAAGTTAATAAGTTTGAGTAACTCCAGCGTGAAGCAGAGAAAGACAGGGATGCTGTTTGTGCAAATTGGCGTGGTTATCTGTGATGGTAATGCTATTGCTAATTTGTCCTGTAAATGTACTGTATAAATTCTGAATCAATATTGTTAAACCAGTATAGCAAATCTGTGTAGGCAAATTATTGAAATGTGACTGGTTTTGAGATCTGTCTCAATTCAGTTAGGTGTGAGATTTGTTCACTTCAAAAATTAGGTTCCTCCAAGTGATGCACCACCCATTTTGCTTATTCATAGGGATATTTTTAGGTGTACAGTCATTGATTTAAGACAGGAAGAGATTCATGCATTTTGCTGCCGTTGAATAACTTGGTGCAGGAATCATTTGACCTATTCTCTCAGCTATACCACTTTTATCATCTGTTTTTCTTGAATAGTCTTTTTTGAAATACACAGTTATCCTCTTGCAAGGTTGCAGACTTGGAAAAGTTCTTCAGGAAGTTACTTCATCATTGTCCCTGAAATCATTCTTAAATCATTCCTCTTTGAAAACAAGCCTGACCATAGCTAGGCATTGGGTAGTCTCTGTCTACCTTTACTTATGCCAAACTGTTGGTTTTTGTTTTTTTTTTTTTTAACTTTGCCCTTTATGATTGTCATCTTCTATCTCACTTAAAAGTTCAGGCTTTATGAGACATGGGAAATCCTGAACTGTATTAGCACATCAAGCAATGTAATACAAATAATTGTATTTCTGTTGATTAAACAATAAAAATAATAATGCTTTCCATTCCTGCCTTTTTTAGTTACAGCTGAAAGCCTGCTAGTGTCAGCACCCTTATTCCATGCAAACAGTGAATGGATCATGGTCTAATGAATTTTCTGTGATAAGTAACATTGGCATTTTCCTATGCTTAGTTATGACACTGTTGGAGCTCACAAGGCCTCTCAAGCAGGATCACACTGCTTTAGTAAGGAGTATAATGAAACAAGTAATGGAAGGAAAAAAAAAGGATGAGGAAAAATACATGCCGGCATGTTTACATATGTATATATAATCATACGAATCTATGAAATTCAGAGTTTGAAAATGTTCTTTTTTTCCTTCCTTAAGTTCTTGGTCGTTACAACTCTCTCTACCTCTAAAGCCCCATGAGCCAAAAAGAGTTTGTCCTTTCAGAAAGTCTGAGAAACAGTAGGCTGGATAATCTGAAATGCTTCTCCTACGCATTGTAACACATGTTTTGCAGACCTCGGATTACTCTGATTTGTTGTGGGTTCTTTTTTTTTTTTTTCTTCTTCTCCGGGGGTGGGCAGGGATGGATGAACACGGGGCAGGAGAGTTTAGCAGTTCCTTCCAGTTTATCAGCATCCTTCTTAAAGTGTTGCCACCAGCACTGGGAACAATGGGGTGACTTTTGGAATACAAGTGCTAAAATATTGCTTTATTTCTGATCATGCTTTCTGACACAACACTTCAGTTCTAATCTGCAATCATTTTCCATTGTTTCTTTTCCTGCCATCACCCTTATTGCTGCTGATGCATCTCAAAAAGCTACGATGTAGTTTTTAGCATGCTATTGATACTACGCAAATAATACATTCTTAGTTGTACACATATGGAACTGCTTACAAGAGTGTCACGTCTTGGAGTTTTGAAGAACTTGTGTTTAATGTTGCTAAAGTGACTTTATCTTGAAATGCACCAGCTGATTAATAATTGCAAAAAGTCATCCAGATGTTTTGCATTCAGCTAAATCAATAGTCCTATCCAACTAGCTAATAAGTAGTCAGTCTGCCATGTCTCCTAAAAAGACTTATGTGCAAAAGGTCAGCTTACTTGGATTAGGAAGCATTAGTGGGGGATGTAAGTAGCTATCAACTGAGGACCTAATAACCTTGTTGAACCAGGACTGATGATTTGGCTGATATTTGATCTTGTATCATGTCTCCTTTCAGAGAGGTCATTTATTTCTTTTGAGTGTCAAGGAGTAAAGAAGTCTTTTTCATTCTGGTAGCTGTTATCATAGTTTATCTGATATCAAGTTCTTGCCATTTTGCAAGAAGAAAAGTTGACTGTATACTAAATCAAATCATACACTTGAATTTTATTCTTCCAGTTTCTCTTCAGAGAAGGTGAATTATCCGTGGCTTTATTTAAACATGTATCCAACTTTTTGAATGTTTTCTAGCCTTTAAGTGGGTTTAAAATACTGTTTAAAATAGTCCTACATTTTACTTCAGTAGTTGAAGCAGTTACTGTATTTGCAGTATATGGCTTGTAATGGCTATATAATATATAGGATAAACTTTATACCACTTCAACAGGCTTAGAGCCAACTTAACTGCTTTTTTTCTCTTGAAAATTTGTGCATGATATTTTTTGCTGATAGGGAAGAGAATCAACAAATCATCTCTATATACGAAGCAAGTCTGGGTTGATTTTCCAGCTTTTCAGTGGACTTTCTTAGTCCATTTTGTGCAACTAAGCAACTAGTTACTTTATGGGTTTTGTTATTCTATATTGCACAAATATGTTACGGTCCAGACTGCAGAGTATCCGTTGTGAAACATTAGCTGACTTAACATCTCAAGATAAATGGTGCCTTTGTATTCCAGTGAGAATGTATTGGTCCTTCTAAAAAAAATGGGTTTTTGTAACTTCATTACGTGGTTTTGGTGGAAAAAATGTCTTTATCGCATTCATTTTTGATCAGCCTGTGTTCATTACAGACTATGTATGTATTTTGCAGAACTAGAGTGATGTTAGGAGCAGAGGAAAGAGGGGAAGGTTTCTGGTGATCACATCCAGACAGTGTAGTTAAAGTAGGTGGTTAGAGCGTGCTGAATTTTGATTGCCAGTAATGTTCATCGGAGGCTGAGCCTTGTATGCTGTAATACTATCAGGGTCCAAAAATTTTGACATCACCTAAGCCTGGCATCAAGTTGGTTCATTGTGCAGACATACTGCCTACTGCTCTTTGTAGACATTGGTTCTGTCTGTCTGTGGAGGTGCTTGCTTGGCTGTCTTACCACAGTGCTGGAACATCTGAGCATCTCTCCTCTCTCTCCTTAAAAGTACAATGAGGCTTTATTTTCTCCTGACAGTGCTATCTGGAAGCTGCTTTTAACCTTGGTCTACCTTCCACTTTTGTTGGGAAAATAATCTTATCCCACAAGTACAGATTTTAGACCAAGATTTCGTCTTGGCTGCATCTTCCCTGCTTTAACAAGGCTTTTACTGTATTTGGTGCTCTGCTAGAGTAATGGCATTATACAGTTTGGTTTTAGACAGATAACTACAGTGTTTTAAGTGCTGTTGCTTGAAAAAACAAGTCAAGCCTTTTCTGTGGGGCCATTACCAGGACATTTTAATGATATAATAGAGATTGGGGAATAGGATGTGTATGGTGATTTGGTATGTAGATTTAATACAGTTTTGGTAATAATGTTTAGATACAGTGTATCTGTGCAACAGGTTGATTTTTAGGACTTTGAGCTGTGTCAGTAGTAATAGCACCATATGTTATCTTGTCATGCTTTTGAAATAAACCTTTAAAATAAATGAACCAGCTACATCTGAATTGATTCTGGCTTGGAAAGGCAGGCTATGTAAAGCTTCTAGGATTAGGTAAGTGTACTGTGTGTAAGGTAAGACAAGTTACGTGAAATTTCTGCCATTTGATAAACATGCTGCATATGAGGTAGTACTGATGTTGAGTATATCCTTTCTTCTCAGTAAATTGTCATTTATCATTCAATATCAAGACTTGCAGAAACTTGTAAATATGTCACATTTCATTATACATGGCTTCTGCTTGTCGCGCTTCCTTAATTAACTTCCTTGTAGTAGTACATATGAATTTCAGATGTTAATCTTGGTGTCCCACCATGCTGTGTCTTGCTGTTTTCCAAACAAATGCAAATTTTGTCTTTGTCCACTCAAACTGTGTTTTAATAGAAGTATTGTTATTCTGTAAGTAAAGTGGTGGGTGTCCCTTAAGGCCAAAGTGCTTCCTGCATGCAGCCATTTACATATTAAATCATGCCACATTAAGATACCGCATACAAACTTTTAAAAATTAACTTTGGAGGATGGGAAGGTTTCCACTAAATAACAGAAACGGGGAACAGGCTGCTTCTCACTGGCCTGCCTCTGTAGCCTTTTCTTTCACAGTATAGTCATAACCATAAATCATTAATTTTGTAAGTGTTTAAAAAGCAAAGCTATGTTTATCTTATCATCAGAGTGTCAGTGTATTTGTCAACATCAAAATGTATTTGCAGTGAAGTGGAGAATCATGCTTCAGGCACTACCAACAGTCTGAAGAGTGAGGAATGTTTGTACTAATGATGAGAATTTGAAGAATTTGTTTGGAATTTGTTTTATGTGGAAATGCAATTGACTTTTTTTTTTTATCTTTCAGCTAGTCAGTATTGGTTCTTCCTATAACTATGGCAATGAAGATCAGGCTGAATTTCTGTGTGTTGTCTCAAAGGAATTGCATAACACTCCCTATGGCACAACCAGTGAACCCAGTGAAAAAGCAAAGGTAAGTTACTAGACATTGGACTAAAGAAACGGTGTCAAATTGGGTGGGCTTCACTAAGTCGTGCTAGGCCCACCTCTGTTCTGGACCATTATTTAGTTGCCTTTTTTCCCCTCACTCATGACTACTAATGGTTCTGTGTCCATTGTATGAGAGACTGTAACTAACTGTAAATGGTACAATTACCACACATTTGTTATACCAAATGAGTTCTTTAAATGCAGTACTCTGTACTGTTCCTGATGCCTGTCCTGTTTTTTTGAGTATTGGCTGATATTTACTGTTTACAGTTGAGAATCTAGGTTTTGTTTCTTACACGTTTGAATGCTTCCTTATTCTGCCACTAGTTCAGTTGAAAACTGTTTTTCTTGCTTGAGTTCAACTGAAGAAATCTTACTGTCAAGAATGGAGATTGTAATATGCTGTCTCTGAAAAAGAGTCATGTGCAATATGTTATAAAATGAAGGTATTTGTTAGCTTAATATTGTCAGGTTTCTACCTAGTTCTCTTTACTTTCTGTAACCAGCTTTACAAAAAGATTGTAAAGGGCGCAATATCTTAGCATTTTATTCAGTTGTCTTTCAGAGTTTGTACAAGGGAAAATTTAAAAACACAACTGAATAGTAATAAGGCAGACCAGTGGTGTATGTAAGTGTATTCTTCTCTTCCATGCATATCGAAGTTTTTATCATTGTATTGTTGCTTTGTATGAGGAGATGACTATAGACAAACTGGATATTTCTGTAGTTGGCTTAAAAGGTTTTCACTTAGTATGTGTAGATGGGAAACAATTGGTAAAATGTCAAAAGTTTCTTTTTCAAGAATCACCTTCAAAGAAATTAATTTTGAAATAATGCTAAGAATTGATCTGGGTCTTGGCACTGAGGCCTCAGATAAACTTCTCTGCTTTCTGTGCCTTGTAACTTGGTTATGCAGCTATGCATATGGAGATGTTTTTGTAAATTGCACTATAGAAATATGTTGGATTCTTAGTGAAATGACTAATTTATGCTCTTTTGTCACTGTTGAGATAAAACTTCCAAAGAGTTGTAAGGGGTTAAGGTAGTCAAGGGTAAACAGTGAACCTGGGTAAGCCATGGCTCACTCTTTCCAAAACCCTAGTCAAGGTCTACTTTTGCTGGGATGCTTCAGGAGAACTTTAAAAGCTGACAAGTTAAAGAGGTGCATGGTAATAATTTAGGGTGGAGATATATACCTGAAATAAAACGTGGAATTCTAGAACCTAATAAACATGCATCTTTAGGGAACTTCAGAAGTTGCCAGAGTTACATTGCATTCTTAATGTAAAAGAAAAATACGGATCAAATAAAACTATTAAACCCTAAATACAAAAGCTAGTTCAGAGTGAAGTACAGCTCTGTAAATTCAGCAGCTCTGAGAGAAGCTAAATCTTAGACCTCTCCATTGAAGTGCTTCTTGGTCATTGTTTCAGAGAAGAGAGCAAAGCATAATTTGACCAGGGTGATGAATAAGAATTACTGTTAATTTTCGTTGGAGATACAAACTTTCACTCCTTTTGTCCTGGAAGAGTTGATCTGTTGCTAGCAATTAATGGCAATACTTGAAGAATCATTTTTTATATTCCTTTTTGGTTGAGAGGTTTCTGACAGCTGCATTCAGGAATCTTGACTGGACCTTGGGAGCTTTTGTCTCAATAGTTCCCTCTTAGCCAGCATTAATCCTCTAGTCTGCAATTTGAAGTTCATATGATTGAAATTCTGGTATCCACTGATATATACAGAATAATCTGTTCATGTACTGGGACTGACTTTTAGAAGCCATGAGAAAGTCTTCCTAGTACTTTTACAGCAGATTGGGTTAGAGAAATCAAAACACTGCCAATATGTAATTTTTATTGACAAGCACTTTAATTAATAGTACTGGACTTTCAGAATAGGAAGAAGCATTTTCTGATAGGCATCTAATCAAGCTTCATCTTCATTCCTTCTTAGAGACTTTTCTTCTTGTGTTTTCTTTTTTTGGAAAACAGTTTGCATAGTAAGTTAGTAGTTGACCTTCTAATACACCTAACCTTCTAATACACCTAAGTGAAGGAAATTAATGGCATTTGGGACATTGACTTAAATGGTTCCAGTGCTTTTACTGGTTGTCATGGCACTGCTGAAAGATAACCTGTATTCCCACGAGCATTCTTCTCTTTCATACTACTTTATTGAGCTGTCACTCTTGGGACAAATGACCAAAACTTGTTCATAATATTTGCATCCAAAGTTAGATTCTCAAGTACTATCTTTTCCCATCCATGGTGAAGAGTACACGGAGTTAAGGTACTAGCTTTACAGTTTTATTTAAATTTTTTCCATACTTATAGTCCCTATTGTTATGTTGGGTGGCACTATTGGCTTCTATCTGCTGACTTTATGACATTTGAAAAAGGAAATTTTCATGAAATCTGTAATGTTCCTTCTTGAAATTGTCTGCCTTCATACTTTCTTACAAAGAGTGGGGTCCCAGAAAAAAGTAAATAAATGTCAATCCCAGATGCTTCAAGTGTAAGTGGACTGTACTTTGTTGCAGCTCTGACTCACTTGCAATCTCTTCTTTTCCCTTCCTTTCTCTATACTTGCTGCATGCTGCATGCCACTCAGAGTGAGGATGAAGAAACGGATTACGATATGAATGACTCAGATTAAGTGTAAATGTCATGGTGAGCACTAGCTGCCCTAGGATTTTACCCAGATGCTTTTCTGCCCCATCTAATTCCTACCCCCACTAGTGCTGTCCTTTGGCTAGTCCTGGTGGTGTGTGTGTTTGTGATTATAGTTGTGGCATGGTTAGCAAAGATAGAATTCCTGTTCTGGATCTTGCTTCTTTGACAGAATAATTAGTGTTGGTGTTATAAGCTGTATTGTGATTGGTTCCTTTAAAGCTTTGCTGAGAAGAAAAGTTCGTTATGTAGATTCTAGGGTCAGAATTGCTTTTCATTTTTATTTTCTGTGCACCAGCTTTTCTGTCACATTTTTTTAGGTGTAGAGGCATATGATACAAACTTAAGTATACACTTTAAGTAAATGTCTGATTTGGCAATAAATTAGCAAACTTGACTGAAGTACAACATAGTGAAAAGATGGTCTTACCTGATTATTTTGAAACTAATAATTTTTGAATCAAGACCTGGCAAATATAAGTAAATAGTGTGATCTCGATGCTACAGTTATATTTATCACAGGAAACAACTCTCTCCGGGGAGGGATCAGGTCATTTCCACTGTAGTTTGACGTCTTACTGAAGATCAAGGTACTGTCAAAGTCACAAGTGGAAGAACACAAAAGTTGGCATCAGAAAGAACAACTTTTGCAACCTTTTCCTAATGTGTCTGCAAGCACTGCTCGTATTTATTCTGCTGTCCAATTTCTAGAAGATAACTTATCATTGAATGTTCAGTGGTACAGTATGCGGGTAGTCACTTGAGCCTGTATAAATTGAAGATTTTTACCATTGCATGAGATTGAGCTCCAGCTTCTCACCTATACACCTGAATTTTTTAGCTGTAAAGCAGCCTTATACTTATCTCTGAAGTGTTGCTTCCACACGGCTGAAGAAGAACCTACATTATTCTCTTAACTGATGCTAACAGAAACTACTGCTGAGGTAGAATAAGATTTTTTGCCCAGTCTTCAGGAATGGCTGCAAGAGTGGATCAAATCTGAAGCTTTATTGAAAAAAATAAACTGGCACTGTGCTGGAATTGAATGCAAGATTCTTAAGCTGCCCAAGAGACAAATAGTCCTTAAAACACTATTCTGTCTGCAGCAGATTTATTTTGAGTAGGAGGAAACAATTCTCATGTTCTGCTTCCCTAAGAAGCAATCATACTGAAGCACCTAGGATATGAGAGTTCATTCAGCATTGTTTAGAGTTTATAAGTCAACTTTGGATCTGGTGCACCTGGAGGAAAAACAGAACAGAACACAGCAGATCTGTACCAAGGTCAGGACAGTCCCCAGTATCAGTACAGACTGGGTGATGAATGGATTGAGAGCAACACTGCAGAGAAGGACTTGGGGATACTGGTGGGTGAAAAATTGGATGTGAGCCAACAACGTACACTCGCAGCCCAGAAAGCCAATTATCCGGGGCTGCGTCAAAAGAAGCGTGGCCAGCAGGTTGAGGAAGTGGTTCTCCCCCTCTACTCCGCTCTCGTGAGACCCTACCTGGAGTGCTGCATCAGCTCTGGGGTTCCCAGTACAAGAAAGACATGGACCTGTTAGAGTGGGTCCAGAGGAGGGACATGAAAATGGTCTGAGGGCTAGAACACCTCTGCTATGAAGTGAGGCTGAGAGAGTTGGGGTTGTTCGGCCTGGAGGAGAGAAGGCTCCAGGAAGATGTTATTGCAGCTTTCCAATACTTAAAAGGGGCTTATAAGAAAGACTGAGAAAGACTTTTTATCAGGGCCCATAGTGACAGGACAAGGGGCAATGTTTTTAGACAGAAAGAGGGTAGATTTAGATTGTCTATAATGATGAAATTCTTTACTGTGAGAGTGGTGTGACACTGGGACAGGTTGCCCAGAGAAGTTGTGGATGCCCTGTCCGTGGAAGTGTTCAAGGTTGGGTTGGGTGGGGCTTTGAGCATCACTTCAGGCATCTCATCTAGTGAAAGATGTCCGTGCCCGTGGCAGGGGGGTTGGACTAGATGATCTTTAAAGGTCCCTTCCAGCCCAAACCATTCTGTGATTCTGTGATCTAAAGTGTGTGGACAGAGGAGCATTATCAATGAAGTCACCTGTTAAGCTAGTAGAGCATGTTCTCAAATGAAAACTTCTTCTGTGCCTGGTTCTGCTCCAGACATACTCCCTAATCCTAGCTATTAGCAATTTGGGAGAAGACCTGCCATAACTGTTGTCAAATTTTATTGACCTCTGTTAGTGTTGAGACATCTTCTCTCGGCATTTTTGCCCAGTAACCCACTAAAATTTTTAGGACTAGGCTTATTAAAGAGTTCTTCAGGAGAAAAAAAAA